CCCCAAAACCCCAAAACCCCAAAACCCCACTCCTCTGTGGATATATTGAAAATAAAATAGTTTTTTAATAATAATAATAAAATGGAAAGTCTTACTAAAACTATCGAAGAAGAGAACTCTCAGAGAATCAGGTAATTAAGAGTTTCATTTTAGAACACTCTAAATTTTCACTCTCAAATTTATAATAAATTAAAAATTTGAATGCTTAACGAAAATTTACCAGCTTTTATAATAACTTCATAGAAAACTTCTTGACCTTACAAGTTCCTGACTAAATGAGACAATATTTGTTAACCTTATCTCTCTAAAATCTATTTGATACCATCCCAAATAACATTTTCCCTAAATATTTAATTTCAAATTTCTCAGCTTTTAAATTGATCCTCTTTCTCTCCCTCAACTCCAATTTTTTTATAATTTCTGGCATCGATTTTCCTCTTCGCTCACTTCTAATTATGCAGTCTAGAGAGATCGATCCTGAAAGAAATCAAGGAGAAAGATGTTACTTGATGCCAGAGCATTTATTATAATATTTTCCAAAGAGAAATAGAAACTGAACCGTTGGTTTCAGATCCTGAAAGTTATAGAAAATAGTGGCCTCGAAATTGATTTGAAGGATCTTAGATATGCGAATCTTGTACGAAGTTTAAAATATCTCAAGTTCTTTGATGTAAATAAATTTATTCTCTATCGTGCTGATTCTAAAAATAAGCATTTTGAAGATTTCTTAGAATCCTCATTCCCAAATACAACTAATCAGCTCTATTTTTTGTCAGAGAACTGGATGGACCTGAATAAGCCAAATTACTTAAACTCCCTGACTAGACTCAGTTCTAAAGTTATCCAAACTGTTACATTTGAATCTTTCTATATTGGCCTGTCCCAACTGAAGAGGCTGGTGGTAACGTACAAGAATGTGAGAGTGTTAGCATTGGTGCATTGTAGATTATCAATTCCAAGTGTTCCTGATTTCTCAAAGGCTCTTACAAATTGCAAAATCCAAGAACTAGATTTACATGAATCAGGAAACTCTTATTGAAGCGAGTGGGAGAAAAACTTCGGCCAGGTTAAAAGCTTGACACAAGGATTATCAGGTTCTCCAGATTTAAGATTGAGTCTCAAAAAGGTAGATTTCACAGATTGCGGAGTAAACCAAAATGAAGTTGAGAAAATTTTTGAAGAAAATCAACTTGGAGAAGTAGAAATAATAATGGATGAAATTTAAATATTTGCTAAGTTTCAAGAGTGAATATAATATTGGGGTTTTGGGGTTTTGGGGTTTTGGGG